TCAAACACAGTCATTGTGGCCGTGTTCATAGTTCATATTATTGAGTGTTGGCTTTTTCTTTTTTATTAATAATGTTTCCATTATTTTTAGCCTTTTTTTACATGTGGATGCTGCTATTATATTTGTATTATTAACGAGTATGTTACAGATAGAGATTGGTAGGTCTCCATATGTATTCAAATGAATATATATATATATATATATATATATATATATATATATATATATATATCATAATAATATTTTTTTGTTTAAAAATAGGATTCCTTCGCTACATAAGAGTTCTCATGTTTCAAAAACGAGAGCCGAAATATCCAAATAATTATTAAAATTATGTTGGATTGTGGTGTTTAGTCCCGTTTCATCTTCAAGCGAAATTTTAGGAACCTTTTCGGCTCTCGTTTTTGAAACATGAGAACTCTTATGTAGCGAAGGAATCATATTTTTAAACAAAAAATATTATTATAATATAAGCTCTACTTCTGTATGGAGCACTCTCTTCTTAAAAATAAAAACAAAAATTACTAAGGAACCCCGGATCATGCACCAAACATGTTTTTTTTCTATTTTCTGCATACCTATGCACTTATATATATATATATATATATATATATATATATATATATATATATATATATATATATATATTGCCTTCAGAGGACGAAACGCGTCGTCTAACTATAGTTTTTCCTCTTGTCTATTTATTCATTTTTTCCCTCACAGATACACTCTATCTGAAAATAATTGATATATATATATATATATATATATATATATATATATGTGTGTGTGTGTGTGTGTGTGTGTGTGTGAAGACATCTCATCTTCATAAACATTTACGTTATTTCCTGTGCCTTATCTTTAGTTAAGAAGTATATTTTGTTTCTTCCTAAATTTGATAAGTCTTATTTTTTGCTTACAGTCATGAAATGTTTTAAATTTCATGCAACTTCAAAACAAAGACGGCCATGGCTCTCCACAGTTTCATTTTACTTATTATTATTATTATTATTATTATTATTATTATATAATACTACCAATAATATTTAAGATATTTGGCTCTGTAGAGAGAAGAGATAACTTTGCCGAAATTATTCATGAAAAAGTAAAAAAAAAACAAAAAACAGTCTCGCCCGGATATTGTATTTTGCTCGCTGATTCCACTGTCCACGTCAACAATCGCCCGCCTCACATCAGTATTCCTTACAGTTCCAAAAAGTTTCAGCATTAGCCAAAAATTGTGAATGCGCTGTTTGCATGGGCTAACATTGGCAACACTGACACAAACACTAAACTGTCGCGATGATGATGATGATGATGATGATGATGATGATGATGATGATTGCGGGTGTGTCCTTTTGTGCGTGTATCGGCTGAGATATACGTTTATGCGAATAGACTCCCATCTAAAGGATTTCTTTTATTTGACATGAGCAAAGAGAAATAATGCGAGAAAAATACGAATGGTAAAGTTTAAAAATCCCTAATCATGCATTCGATTTAAACGTTAACAAAACCAATAAAATTACTTTTGATATTACCGTGTGTAACAAGGAAATTGTCCAAATCGTCTAACAGCAAAATTATCTATTTGTTACATGAAGCATTGAACCGTTATATCTTAGAAATGATTAAAGATAACTTACTGGAATTCTCCGAGGTTTTTACAACACTATTGGTATCCACTTTGAACACAAGTTTAGTTCTAAGTTGAAATGATGATCCCTCTTCCTGTCGTGATTTTCTGATCCAGTTTTCCTCTCTAATGTTTCCTCTTTTTTAAACTTATTCACCATTCTCTTGATGGTTCTTGAATGAAGTTTTGAAGATGGAAGCCACAGTATGAATTCTGGTACTATTACTGAAGGCCTGAATAATCTTTTTCCTCTCACCAATTCTCTGTCTAGCTGAATAACACAAAGGTTTTTTTTCCGTGATTCTTACGACAAATTGTGTCAAGAGAGCTAAATGTCTTCTCTGAAAACCTGTAAAAAAGAAAGAATAAGTTTAGCATTTGCTTCTTAGATATTAAACATTTTGCGGAATGGACAATTATCGCATGCTGTTACACGATTTGGAAATTTTTGCTGTTACACCCGGTATATTTTAGAGTATATTTTAGTTCGTCTTCTTTAAAATGATCGGCTATATATTCTAAACCTTGGATGAATTGTAGTTGCTTGATGACGCTTAAACAGCGACCTGTAGTTTGCAGTCTAGACTTTATCTACGCATGCTGCGTAAAATGGCTACCTTTTTACATACCTTTCTGTGAACCACGTCCAAGCACGTTTCTCGGGCAAATTATGCCAGAAAATGTGTAAAAGAAAAGAACAAGAACGAATTCATATGAAAAGTCCGTCTTATCATCTAATTGGTTTCTCGTACATTTAGTCGTTACAATTAAATCAGGTCAATTTAGCGAAATGTATGACGTCGACATATTCAATGACCCGAAGCATCTCATCATGGTGTCAAATCAGAAGTTTCGTCCATAGATTCAGACGAGTGTGGAAAGTAACACAGCTCTTTAAAAGAATGTAATGAATAGAAAGGTAATCAAGGAAAGAAAAAAAGACAAAACTAAACATTAATTAAAAAAAAAACAACAAAATAAATGATTGTCAGGAAAGAAGACATCTTAATTTGTGAACTCTTGGGAACATCAAAATAAAGGAAAAAATAATTGTCTGCTTAATGGAATAAAAGAAGAAAGAATGTTTGACAAAGAAAGTTCATTGGAATGGTTGTTTAGTTAATTTTATTTACCGGCATTTCTATATCTCTATGGATTATAGAATAGAATGATTATATGAAATCTAAATATATTTTAACACATTTTTTGGGATTTAGACAATGTATTGTTGGTCATTTTGCTATAAAATGTATTGTTGGTCTTTTTTTTTATAAATTGAGAGTGTTGTTAATTTTACTATAAATAGATATTTGTCTATATTTCTGAGATGAGGTATTGTAACTATTTACGCTATTTACATTATCAAGCTGTTGTCCTCATTTTTAATATCACACTCATGACGTTTCGGCCATTGTAAACACCGATCTTCTTCAGGATCTGTCTACATTTCTGAGATGAGGTATTGCAACTATTTCCACTATTTACATTATTCGCACTGTTTTTCTCATCTTTATTTTCATGTGCACGACGTTCCGACATATAAGGACATATGGGATTCACAAGGATACATGGTTCCACAAGGACACATGGTGTCTCCAAAGTTATATGACCCAGTGGATAAAAGCCTTGTTTTGTTTTACGGCATATCAACCTCAATGGGTTATTTAATGCCGACAAAATTTTTATTGCTGGTAATATTATTTTTCCTCAAAAATATATTTCAGGGAATATTTTTCCTTGGAGAAATCTATAGCTGCTCATATTTTTCAAAGAATGCATAACTGTTTGTATTGCTGGTATTTTTTTTTTTAAAGTATTGCTGATAATAATTTTTCCTTAAAAAATTATTGTCGGTAATAATTTTTTTATTACAGAGTATTTCTGGTATTAAAACCTATTTTTACACAAGTCTGAGTATTAACTATTTGTCCAAAGCTGGGACCCTAACAGGTGCTACCACCCGGGTCAGGGGGGACCTGGGAACACCAGCAATTTAAAGGTGCTTCCACGCTCCTCAAAACCTCCTGATCAGAGGCCTTGCTGCTGGATGTAGTTTATCGTCTTACCCAGGACGATCATCTGTGAGGAGATTAGCATTATCAGGGTATGTTAAAGGGAATTTTCAGGATCTTTAAAGAAGACTGTGACATGTAACAAACGTGTTTGTGTGCATGTAGATATTCGCCCAGCCTTCTTACCAAAGATGGATGTATTTTTGTTGTGGATTTCGAGATGAAATTCGGTCTCAAACGCAAGAATTAAATATAAGAAATTAAATGTATTTACACAATAATACAAAGGGTAATACTGTTAGTAAATCCAGGAACGCCATTAGTAGCAATATATATATATATATATATATATATATATATATATATATATATATATAGTCGAAGTAGGACTTGCTTAGAGTCTACGTGCTTGTAACTGTGAATTCTACAAGCGGTTACCTCACACTATTACTCTACCTACAGCTGAATCACAATCTCAGTCTTCTTGCTATCTCAATCTGACTCTCTCTGTATACTGACTGACTCTTATATGAAAAAGGGGAGGACCACATAACAGTTTTAAAGTGGGTGCATACTTATAGATATAGGCCAAGAGCAAAAATTGATTTTCTCGGACCCCATAACCACTATCACGCTAAAATTGGTATTACACCGACCCAACCTCTTTAGTGCGATGAGGGAGATGCTAAAGCAGGGTTGGAACCTCCTGGGCTGAGCAACCCCTCAATGGTTAACTCCTGTACCAGGTAAGTCTTTGCGTGTATGGATGTATGTGTACAGATAAACGCAGGTGCAATGTCCTGTCTACATTGTGCACTTGCAGTAATCCCAGGTTGTATACTGAAGTTGAAAACAAAGAGAAGGCTCATTAAGCGGACGAAAGTTATCAAACACCGCCTCCTCGTGTCTGTTATTAGCTGTCAGCATGTTTCAGCCATAGAAAGGTTTATCAAAAGCGATCACAACAAATCCGCCCCAGTAAGCTAGCGTGAGTATAATTCGCAAATTTGTTGAAGTTCGATGCCGAGAAAAAAAGCAATGGGAACATTAATCATATTTTGGCAATAGATGTTTCAGTTTTGTTGGCGTTATATCCTCCCCAAAATGTCTCACGGTCTTCCGTTATTCGTGCGAGGGAAGAGCATCATCTTTGGCCAGGCTTAACACCAGAACACTGAATTTTGTACACTCAGCATCTGACATCGATCATCATTTCAGGATTTCTGGCAAAATATCTATTCACAGACACGCGAAAATGTTTCGTCGTGAAGCCAAACATCTTGGCTCAGTTTTTACTGGCAACGTGAGAATCTCAAAGGGAAAAGACTGTTATTTATTCCTTCAGAAGTGTTATGCTTGGTCATCCAATAAACGGCTCTTGTGTTATACTAACAAGATTCATCTATCTATCTATCTATCTATCTATCTATCTATCTATCTATCTATCTATCTCAATCTGCTCCTATCTATCTATCTATCTATCTATCTATCTATCTATCTATCTATCTATCTATCTATCTCAATCTGTTCTTAACTATCTATCGCAGTATATTGCTTATGTATATCCGTATGTATCTATCGTGTATGTATATATGTATGTATGTATGCATGCATGCATCTATCTATCTATCTATCTATCTATCTATCTATCTATCTATCTATCTATCTTGTTTATCAAGGTTTGAAAAGAATGAGGTGGAAGATGCTAAGGTCAAGCGCAATCACCGTAAAGGTAATCTTGAAGCGCTAACTTCCACCCTAACCTTACAGCATGTATGTTGGTTATGTGGTAATTTTGCTCTTTTGAAGGCAGGTCTTTAAAGTCACCTTAGGTCTTATCAGGCTCGATCCATTGAAAGAAGCCTGCAGTCAATCCGTGCCTTCTTGTACATTCTGCCATATGCAAGTCAGCTTCTGGATTAACAAGACACATGAAAATTCACGTTGATGCCAGGCCTATTGGCCTTGGGGATCTCCATTTCATGTGCAAGATTTGCGCAAAAGTTTGTAAAAGTAAGGCGGGTTTAAAGTATCATCTGCGCTCTCATCTATCTATCTATCTATCTATCTATCTATCTATCTATCTATCTTAATCTGCTCCTATCTATCTATCTATCTATCTATTTTAATCTGAAAGTTATATAACAACCCCCCCCCTAAAAAATTATTGTGGAGATAGTCTTCCTCTGTTAAGTGACAATCACCATCTATCTTGTATGCATGTATCTATGTATCTATCTTGTATGGACGCGTGGCCGAGTGGTTAGAACGTCCGATTTCTGACCATGAGACCCACGGTTGATTTGTTATCGGTTTTCTCACTTAGAAAGTGACTGAAAACCATAGCACGCGTTGACCCAAGACTTGTGAGTGAAACTGGGTAGAGAGAACACTTGGGGGTCGTCGATAACTGAAGTCACCACAAGTCATCGTGACACGATCTCTTCCAGAATAGTTGCAGTATAAACCGCAGGTGGGCTATGTGGGTGTTGAACGAACACAGCTGTGCCTGAGCGAGCGTTTGAATTAGTAGACGGGTATCCTCGAATACTAGTGGTCAGCTATTATCTATCTATCTATCTATCTATCTATCTATCTATCTGTTATAGTGGAACACACCTATTCTATAGTTAATAGACTCACCCACTTATAATAAGTAGTAGTAGTAGTAGAAGTGGTTCAGGGAGTTGGTCAGTCAGTCGATGACGGACGACCGTTAGTCGGATACTAGAAGTATCAGCGACCACAACTAGATTACTCTAAGTTATACCTATTATATCAAGTTCCTAACGTTTTGTACGTCGAAACCTATTTTAGGACCGACTTAGTGCAAATACAAGTCTCCACTGTGAAACCACTACATAACACTATCTTAATCTGCTCCTATCTATCTATCTATCTATCTATCTATCTATCTATCTATCTATCTATCTTAATCTACTCCTATCTATCTATCTATCTATCTATCTATCTATCTTAATCTGCTCCTATCTATTTATCTATATTAACTAAATCTATCAAATCAATACACACTCAAATTGGTTAATCAATACTGAAGCGATTGCCATTCTGGGCTAATCTACGCCTTATGAAGCACATACATAAAACTTAACCAATTTGGGAAAAAATAGCTAAGCTAGCAGATCTCTGCAAATAACTTCTAAGACATAACACAAGAAGGAAACCAAAGAAGAGCAGCGATTACAACAACCGACTTTGAGTGTCTACGGTGTTCCAAACTATTTGTCGTCGGAGTAGCCTTGTTAAGCCATCTGACAATTCCTAACCAAATTCTTTCATTATTATATAATTTTCTGATTTTAGCCTATCTTGTCTTCCTATATTTATGATTCTGAATGATATTTGTCCACAATATATATTCTAGCCGTTAAGTAATTTAAACATTAGATTTGCGTTGGCCTGTTCTAATGTTTAAAATCGAGGGTCTCCCGCTTTTATTTGCTGTGCAAACTAAGAAAAAATTAAGTCACTAACCTGCTACAACGGACAACAAGTTTTATCAGTAACTAGCAGCCATAGCCAGCTCGTAGATCAGAAAAAGCGTTCAATTAGAATGGAGCAAAAACAGCATCATGTTTAGATGTAACAGAGTGTATTTTCTTCAATTACTTTAAAGTACTTTCATTAAAAAAACATTTTGAATTAATGCGGTTACTGATATAACAGAAGTCTGTATTTATTCAATGGAAGTGAAGGGGTAAAAGAGGCAACATGAAGAGCCACTCCAGACCACAATTATTTTGGAGTTTTTGAAATTCAGTTTGTCAATGTGCTACCAGGGATGTAAAAGATGATACATTCATAAAGCAGTTGTTAAGTTTGAGAAAATTGGTTGAAAGATCAATGAAAAATAAAAAAGAAACCAGTAAAAATCGCCATTTTTCGCTATTTATGTGGGTTTTCACTATACGAGTGGAATCAATTATCAAGTTAAATGACTTTAAACAATCAACATATTGTTGGCTACAAATTAATGAAGTTTCAACTGAATTGCTTGAAAATTGAGAGATTTTTATTTTAAAATTTGTGTAGAAATCGATTTGTGTTGAAAGCGATTTTTTCGTTTTTCGCGGTTTTTCACTAAACGCAGTGGTGTAGGAATAAAGGTGAGGTATCTTTGAGCTCGTCATGATGTACATAACCTACATACCGAGTTTGAATAAAATCGGACGAAAAAGTTGAATTTATTGATTTTTGATCGGCTTTATCGATTATTGATTTTTTTTTAAAATTATCAATTATTTTTTTTCGTTAAGAACGTATCTCTTACATAGTACAATGTAGTCAAAATCGGTTGGGTGGATCTCGAGTGAAAAGGTATCACACGGACAGAGAAACAGACACACATATCCCTTGTTTTATATATAGAGAAAGAAATACGGGAATTAGTTCCTGACCACTGACAATCGATTTTTCTCTGATTTTTCAATACAGTTGTTAAGTGAAACCGTTAGCAATACATTCTTATTATTGATGCAGTTATTAGCACACATTTCTACTTTTCGGTCCCCGTAAATTATGGAGAATCATTGGATTAAATCTATTGACAAGGATGAAAATAATATTGAAAAAAAAATACTCGTAAAAATATTATTATTAGGCAATTTCCCGATCACTATAATCTTAACCTTTTCAAGTCTAGGGTTAACCGTTTTCTTCTCCATTTATCCGTATAAACTATGCCTCTTCCTCTGTAACACTCTACCTCGAGTGGCTCCCGGGCCTGGTACAGGATGGACATCACTGTAAAATGTAGTCCTACTGATATACATTTATTTACAATATTTGCATGCGACTATTTTCCTCATCTTTGTTATTGTTATCGTCACAATGTTGCAAATAACAACAACAAAGATGAAGATAGTAGTCCGCCTGTAAATAAAGAAGCCCCCCCCTCATTCCAGAAATTCAGACCGATATACACTTACTTGCATTATTTACATTATTCAGACTGTTATGCTCATCTTCATTTCCATATTCACAACGTTTCGGCCTTTGAACGCTCCGACCTTTTTCAGGTGATTGGGATTTCGAACCGAACACTTTTTTTTTCATCTACAGGGGTAAATTCTTCTAGTTCTACATGCCATACCTCTTCTGGATGTCTCAATTATTTCCCTTTAACTCAATTCTCCAAGTTTTGATTCACCACTTCTCTGGCCTGGTACTGAACACACAACTCTTTGGGTCTAGTCGCTGGATCTAACCAATGTCTTTATCCACGAGACCAGGTGTCCTCGACTTGTGAGAGTTTATTTAAAGAGAAATAACTGTAACATCCGGAAGAGGCATGTCACGTGGAACTAGAACTAGCAACACCATATATATATTCATTTCTATAACAGTGTTTTCTTTTTGATACTCTTTCCTTAGTTCCCGACCAATTCCATATTTTCGTCATTTTTAATTCACAAATTAAATAGTGACATTTTACAAAGAATTATTTTTAGAACCATAAGTATGCATATACATGTAGCAACAATGTCTGAGTTTCAGGCCATATAACCAGACGGAGTCTATCCCTCTATAGGCAAGTTTTGAATTAAGAACTATCCTTCTCTTAGATTGGTTACCACTCAAGACAGTCTGCCTTGCTATTTAATCAAAATGCACTTGTCTTTCTCAGAACTTGAACTCTGCACGCTGACTGCACTTTTTTGGCGCTGATGACCTTTTGTGACCCGAATAAAAAGTAATACACTAAAAAAGTATTAAGAAACACGATAATTCCGTTAAAAAATAATGAAAGAAGAACTGAACTTCATATGTAATTTCTATCCTCCTATATGGCAGTGAATTCTCGGCAATCTTCTCCCAAATGAATAAAAGACTTGAAATGTGGCTCTACAGAAGGATGCTGAGAATACGATGGTCTAAATATGTGATTAACGAGGAAGTTTTGATGAAAATGGAAAGAAAAAGGAAATGTGTACTTAAAATCAGAAAGAGTGACTTGAAATTTCTAGGAATGATGGCCTGGAGAATATTAAACTCGCAGAACATTTTTAAAGGTAAGAAGAAAAGAAAGGTGTGTAAATGTTTAGCAGAACAGGTATTAGAAGACAAACTTTACTAGTAACTCTAAATGAAAGTAAGTTATGGAGAGCCAGGATCGGACACTGGACATTGAAGAAGAAGAAAATATTGTCAGCATATAGTAAAACCTGAAAAAATGGCAATAATATACAACGGAACTATTTTTTTCCTTTTCTTTCTGTTGCTTTCAGGTATTACTTTCTTACTCATGAGTCAATGAAATGATTTGTTTTCATTTGCTTAATAAATCCTATCTATAACACCATGATTTACGCAAGCAGGTTCATCATAAATTTTTAATTCACAAGAGCGTCCTGGATAAGACGATAAACTACATCCGCGTCCTGGGTAAGACGATAAACTACATCCGCGTCGGGGGTAAGATGATATACTACATCCAACAACAAGGCATCTGATCGGATGGGGTACTGTGAGGAATGTGAAAAAACCTCCTAATTTCTGGTGTTCCCGGGTGTTTCCTGACCCGGGGTTTAGCACCTGTTAGGGTCCCAGTTATGGGCAAATAGTTAAACCCCAAACTGGGGTCAAAACCTGTAAATATAGGTTTTAATACATGCACTACATTGCCAGCAATGAATTTTTGAGAAAAAATTTATGACCAGTAATACATTATTACCAGCATTACATTTTTGTAAAAAAAGGATATTGCCAACAATACATTTTTGAAAAAAAAAAAAAATTACCAGCAATACATTTTTGAAAGAAAAAATATTGCCAGCAATATAAACCTTGTCGGCATTAAATAATCCATTGAGGTTGATATGGTGTAAAACAAAACAAAACCAACTAATTCACAACAACGGAATAGTCATAAGAATGTCACTTTTTTTTTCTTTTTACGGGAGGCACGGTAGAGTAATGGATATCGACTCGGATTGAGAAATCAGAGAGCTGAGTTCGAATTCCAGTCGAATCCATTACATTCGCTTACATGCTAATACCCCCTGGCAAACGTATGAATTTTCTTTTTCAACACTACCATTTATGGGTAAATGGCAAGAAAGATTGTGTTATACAGCCTTGGGTGGCAACCGCTCTAGGAGAAGGATAAACTCTGAATTCGAAACCAGCCTGAAGGGGGTTGGACTCAGGTTGCAGTACATGTGGTGCCACTGCGATTCGATTTCTTTTTCAGTTTGGCTAAGTCTTCTTCATGCCAAATTTCCCAAAAGGTTTTTGCCGTATCGTTGTTTCTTTCCCAATTTGGTTATGCTTTGCGTATGTGTTGCGTAAGGCCTAGCTTAGCTAAAAATGACAATCGCTTCCGTACTGTGATTGATTGCGGATGGCTTGAACCCCGTGTTCGTTCGTTCCTGAAAGTGATGGATTGGTATCTGATGAATCATTTCCTACCTTCCAATGATTTTCCCAAAGACAAAACTTCGCAAGCATGCCGCTATTCTATCGCTGTTTCTATGACATGAATTCTGACGAGCTGCATTTCTTAGTTCCACCAGTTCTGAGCTACGCAGATGACCGACATGCTACGCGTATAGGGACATAATCGTTCTCATACCCTTCATCTTTATCTCAGTTAGAAAGATTTTCCACTTAAACCGCTTCTTCCCGAGAATGCTACTTCTGAAACAGACTCCAGAGAGAATTTTTTCCCTATCATTATAATCTTAATCTCTTCAGATTTAGAGTTACCTCTTCTATATAACCTCTTAAACAACACTTCTTGTTATACACATACAATATCATTAAGTAAATCTCTAGATTGAGTGGCGCTTAGGGCTTAATTTAGGAGAATGTTAGTAAAAAAAATACAACTTTTAATACGAGATTCCCAGAAGAGATAAATGTTGAAAGATCGCCGCTCCCAGATTCCTTAGTAAGAGTGATCTCCACTTTGTGATGCGTAGCTGACCAACACTTTGAGTTTCGTTCCCCTAATTTCCC